GGGACCATGATGTGTTTCCAGTATAGCATAGGGACCATTTCTATAACTTAGTATCAAAAAATTTCAATAAAGCAAGAGTAAATTAGAAATGATCCATGTGGTTGGCACATTGTCACAGTTTCAATAGACTTTCAAAAGTTAATTCAGTCGGAATTTCTAACTCAATCAGCTTCTAACCCGATAAGCACCTCATCCTCATTTGCAGTACCATTATTTCTCTTTTTTGTTTCGATACTTTTCAAATGCCATTTCGAGTTTTGGGATTTTGTTTCTTGAGATATGTGAATGTTTCCATAAATTGGGGTAAATTTAATCCATAAATTGTTTTTATGCTAGGGAAGAAACCAAAAAAAATTGGGATAATGTTGTGTACATGGATTACAAACAAGATGAGAACCTCTATAGTGTTCGTGTTTGTTTGTGTGTGAAATCCTCATGTATGCACATTATACTAGTAAAATAATTAAATCAACAAGAGTGTATGTTCATGTGTAATAGCCTTTGAATCTCCTGAATTTTGTGTAGAAGAATTTGTTTTCTAATCATAGTGGCTAAAGAATTTTTTGATGCACCCATGTGACAATCGTATTTCTGCATTAAAAGATCCATGTTGAGTTTCTATCAGACTTTCAACATTTTGGTATGGATAGTCCCCACGTTTCAAAATCCATCACATTTAGTTCTTTTTGTTGTTACGATCCGTCCCTATCTATTAGCCGCAAGTAAAATGACAATTTTACCCCTCATTTTGTCTTTTCTGTTATATTATCATATATAAACTTTGGGGACCATTTACGTAAAAGAGTTGAAAACAAAAATAACAGACCTAACAGCCCCCATCATTCATCATTTCAACCCCACCCGTACTTACCGGTTAAATTAATAGATGTTTACCCAATAGTGGTCATACTTCAATGGAATTTAAACAGACAAACTGTAGGGAATTATAGGGTTTGTGGTAGAGATCTGGATACCAACTTGGATCGTGATATCACTTTCCGAACTGATATTTCTACCTTATGTCTGGGTTACAAGAAATTCAGCCTAGGATAATCCAAGTGGACACTTACGTTTCTAGGCACAGAAAACGTAAGCCAATATGCTAGAGGATTCTGTGAAAGTATGATGAAAAACAAGAGCTTAAGATCGTAACCCTCTTCTGAAGAGGAAGAGTTGTTTATATATTAAACAAGATTAGGGTTTCATTGGGGTTGGGCCGTCATTAGTTGTTTTGGAAGCAAGTCATGATAATCCGAAATTAATGAGGATTTAGGGTTACCAAAGCTAACGAGTTTCATTAGTTTTACCAAAACTAGCGGGACCCCAGCCAGGGGCTTTGCCCCTTGGACCCCGCTAGGGGCGTTGCCCCTAGACCCCGCCAAAGGGGCGCTGGACCCCGACTAGTCGTCGAACCGGCTTCTAATTCGATCTTATACATGCGTGCACTCCGCACAACCTCGTACATATATTAGAGCACAAATTATGAAGCCCCTTAGCTCACATGTTAGTTCCAGTTACTTAAAATGACATGGTGACACTAAAATCACCAACACAAACACAAGCTGAGATATTCCAATCCTTGACCAACGTAAGTTTTAGAAAATGTAAATGGGACAATAGATCATAAAGGATTTTTTCATCCGTGGTGATCATAATCTTAGATTAGTTCACCCATTCCATATCTTTTAGCATTGAAGTTGAGTCTTCCAAGTTTGTAGATTAAGGATCCATATCGCACTTCTTGTGTGGTCCTTTATAAGCATCGAAAACCTTGAACTTAGACGAAGACAATGAATATCTGAATGAACAAAAACAAGTTTGTCGGCCCTTTTACAGTTTAGCCGATTTCTTTTTACATTATGAATAAAAGAATAAGTGCTCCAATTTATATAGGCTAAGGAATTGCTTATATGTTGTGACAACATTTTTTTGCCACTTAGCTAACTTTGGTGTCGGGCCAATAAGTAGACCATCAATCAATTGTTTCCATTGTAATCAATTCCATTTGAGTTGTTGGTAATGGATAAAGACTCTTCTTCATGTGAAATGTAGCAAATTGTTCTCACAACATCCATTGTTCGTCTCTATTTTAAGCAATGCATTAAAAGCTTCCATGACACCTTGTACAACTTCTTTATCAAGGTTACGTGGTTTCTATGTATTCTACTCGATGCTAACGTTTCAAGATAACGTGTGTCGTAAAATCGCGAAGTAAAAGCAAATCCCAAACAATATAATGGTATGGTCATTTTCTCTCACCTTTTCGATACAATTTGCTCTGCTTGAGGGAAATACGACGCATATACATTTTCTTTCGTCACATCTTTGATTTCCCCCAACATATTATCCATTATCTTATTTACTTCGCCTATTTTGGAGCCTTCACCTTCGCACAAAATTGACCAGCCGAAAAATAGGCTTCGTGATGCCATAATGGAGAGAAGTGTGGTTGATTTTAAAAATATGAGGGCTTTCTATAAAAACAAGAACCGTTCTACTAGATGAATGTGTGAGAGATGTTGAGGACTTAACAATATTTTTATAATATCTGATTGGTAGACAAACATCAAACATAAACCGTTGATCAATGGACTTGCCATAAACAGCCACATTTTATATTCATGTATGCTCTAGTGTCGTGACGAACAATATCGCCAATTGTAAAGTTGCGGGAAAGGAAGTCGAAAAGGTATACAAGCATATTTTTTGGTCATCGTGGTATGTTCATTACTTCATACATTAAACTTGATTTTTAAAGACTTTGCAAATGAGTTTATTTGGTTAGAGGACACATATAAAAAAGGGAAAATGATTGTCAAATATTTTTTAAACCATGGACAAGCTTTAGCCATTTTTAGGGACAATTCAAAGCTAGAGCTTTTAAAGTCGCAAAAACCTGATTTACGTCTCACAACATTTTGTTGAAGAGGTTAATCACTTATAGAGAAGCCCTATCTACAACAATTGCTCGTAATTCGTGGAAAGATTTGGGGAAACAAGGCGATGAACACACTAGACAAATTAGACATTGACACTTCAGAGATGATTTTTGGATTGAAGTTGAAAATATTATACGCATCACAAAGCCTATTTTTTTGTTGGTCATATTTTGCAATTGTGAAGGGCTAAAGGCCCAAAAATAAGCGAAATATATGAGAAAATGGATAATATGTTGGGGAAATCAAAGAAGTAACAAATAAAAGTATATATGTGTCGTATTTCCCTCAAGTATTGCAAATTGTATTAAAAGGTGGAAGAAAATGACCATACCATTACATTGTTTGGGATTTGCGTTAACTCTGCGATTTTACAACACATGTTATCTTGAAACGTTAGCACCAGGTAGAATACGTAGAAAAACACCTAACCTTGATAAAAAGTTGTACAAGATGTCATGGAAACTTTTAATCGCATTGTTGAAAATAGAGACGAGCAGATGTTGTGATAACAATTTGCTACATTTCACATGAAAATGGGTCTTTATTCGTTACCAGCAGCTCAAATGGATGCAATTACAATGGAAGCAATTGATTTGTGGTCTACTTATGGCGTAAAAACACTAGAGTTAGCTAAAATGGCAAACAAATATTGTCACAACCTATAAGCAGTTCTTCAGCCGAACGAATTGGAAGATTTATTCCTATATTCATAATATGAAGAGAAATTGGCTAAACTATAAAAAGGCTGACAAACTTGTATTTGTTCATGTCTGAGTTTAAGGTTTTTTGAAGCTTATAAAGAAGTACCACAAAAGAAATGGTATATGGATCCCAAATCTACAAACTTGGAAGACTCAAATTCAAGGCTAGAGGATATGGAATGAGAAGATCTGGAGGAAGACGAAGATAATGATGATGACCAAAGAAAAAACCAAAGGGTGGACTAAGTTTTTATGTTTTATCATGTCTTTTTAAGTTTCATCATTTTTATCATCATATATGTCTTTTAAGTTTTAAGTTTATGTAATCTTTGTGAGTTTGAACTTTCAATTATTGAAGTAATCCGTTTGTTTTGAAGTAATCAGTTTGTTTTGATATTACTATAAAAACTTTGAAGAATTGAAGTAATCTTTTTGAGTTTTACATTTATGTTATCTAATCTGTTTTGATAATAACATGTACATCATACCATAACATATGGTATATCGTCGCAGAGCGTACCGAAATGATCCTACCCCCCATCATACCAAGTTTCAAGGACCTAGCGAATTGCGAATTACGAACTTGTTCTCGTACCGCGAACCATGTGACTATGGTCTATCTATTGTAATAATTTGTCAAATGTCAACCAAGTCCCTTGATAAGCACGTTGGTATGTAGTATTTATAGGGTATTAGGTTTAAGGATTAGGCGTGTAGAAATTAAGTTAGAAACCTTGGGAGACCACCTACTTCTCGAATAGTAGGAACTATCATGTATCCTATTATTTTCTTTCATTCGGTTATTAATAAAAAGAATCCTAACCCGATTATATCAATCTACTATCATCCTTATATTAATGGACCAAGGTATATGCTGTAAAGGGCCTAAGTATGAATTCATAATAGCATATATCCTACAACGAGCTCCCATATTTTTAATGTCGTGGTAAGTTCATAAGGCCATTGAGATCATGTTACTCTTGTCCAATCATTTTTTTAAAACTAAAGTCAATTGCTTTTTTGTTTCTATCATGCCTTTTCTTTACAAAGTTCACATTGTCAACTAACCCAACAGCAAAAGCAAAACCATTGTCAAAAAATTATGCATGAAAACCAAGAGATGAAAACATATATTTTTATAACTATTTGGAGGTTAACTAAATCAGTAAACCATTAAATTACACGAAACTTACCAAGCATATCGAAGAGAAGCCGACCAAATTCTTTTTCCAATGAAGAAAACAACTTCCACATTCCAAACTTCATCTTCATGTACCACTTTCAACAAGCAAGTTCATGTCCAAACAAATAACATTTGATATGATATTTGAAGCCACAAATGTTGTACATAATCCAATTATCACCTTAAAGGACTAACAACCCATCCAGTAATTGGATTTTGCCTCCTGCTTCTAAATCTCCTATGAGAACCACTTTGTAAACGTTCAAGAATAGAATATGTAATCCAATCCGGAGTCAAACCTTGTTCTTTAAGCTTTGCATACAAGTCAACAGCTTCAGCAGTTCTCCCACTTCTCTCAAGGCAATCCAACAATATGTTATATGTAATAATATTAGGGCAACACCCTTCAGAAAGCATTTCATCAAACAATCTACAAGCCATTTCTACTTTATCTGATTTCCCAAAACACTCGATCAATGTACTATATGTAACAACATCCGGATTCAACCCCTTCTCTTCCATTTCTTTACACCTCATGTAAGCTTCATCAACATCACCATTTTTCCCTAAACAATTTATTAAAGAATTATATGATACAATATCAGGCTTACAGTTACTATTCTCCAGCTCATCAAAGATCTTAACAGCCTCATCAACTCTTCCAGCTCTCCCAAAGCTTGAAATCAATATATTGTAAGTGAATATATCTGGTTGAGGCCCTTCTTTTTTCATTTTTTTATATAAATCAAGAATATGGGATACCTGTTTTGATTTCCCAAGAGCAGTGAATACAGTGTTGTACATAATGGTATCTGAACTTATCCCCTTTTCATGAATCTTACTTAATAAGTCTATAGCTTCAGTCATTTTATCTTCTTTACATAAACTCTCTAACATGGATAAGTAAGCATCTCTATCTCCTTTATCATGGAAGCTCCACATGTAGCAAAAGAGGCGATGAGCTTCACTAGCATGGCCTAATTTACTAAGTGTACGTACAAGATATGCATATATGCCCTTGTTCATGTACTTCTTTGATATTTCCACAACTTCATCGAGTCTACCAAGTTGTCCTTCTGAAGCTAAGACATTGAGGATGATACTGTAAGTGAATTCATTTGGGCAGCAATTGTTTTCTACCATTTTTGAAAAGAGGTATATAGTTTTGTCAACCATTCGGTTTGTAGCAAGAACCTGGATTGTAGTATTGTAAGCAATTAGATTTGGAGCTGGGTTCTTTGATAGCATTTCTTGAAAGAGTGATATTGCCTCATCAAGCTTCCCGTGTTTTCCAGTCATTCTGATTAGAATTGTATATGTATATTCATCAGGCTCACAGTGTTTCTTCTTCATGTCTTCAAAAACCTTCTTCGCTTCTTCAACCTGAAAAGATGCTGCATTTCAGGTTATCATGATTACATCAAACCAGAGGTGAAACAGGATAATACACTTGATAGCTGACATAATTGGATTAAGAAGGGTGTTGAGATGATGAATTCTATAAAAACAGCTAGAATAAACACGACACGAACTTCAATATGCAACAAAAATGATCATAAATTGGACCTTTTCGTCTTTGGCAAGAGCATCAAGTAGCATATTGTAGGCAAAGATATCCGGTTGATATCCTTTCCGTTTCATCTCTTGATAAACTTCCAAGCCCTTGTTTGAATCACGAGAGCGTAAATGAGCTTGCAGAAGGCATTTATACGTATAGCGATTCATCCTGAGCTCCCATTTTTTAACCAGCCGTAAGCACCTGTCCAAATCTTCACCGCCGCCGAATATTCCGATCAAAAGATTGACGGTGGAGATGTTGCCATGCACGCGCGACCGCTCCATCTCGTCGATAATACGACGGACAGAGTCGAACCGGTCAGGGGAGGAAGACTTTGAGAGGATGAGGAGAATGCGGTTGTAGGTGAAACAATCGTGACGAAATTTAGGGATAGAAGTGGGGCAAAATCGAAAAAATTGGAGTGCAAGAGATGATGAATGGAGCGATTTGAGGATTTCGGATGCTTCGGAAGGGGTGAGGGTTAGGGTTAGGGTTTCCAGATAGTCGGATAGTTCGATGAAGGGGTCTGATGAGCGGGACTGGAGAATGTTGACGACCTTGCAGACAAGGTCATGGCGAGGGAGAGGGTAGCCTCTGGGGTCAAGTTGTTGGATGTTTGGGACTTGGACTTCGACGGCGAATGAACGGCCGTTGTCCATTTCGGTGAGGACTCTGCCGCTGTATTTGGTGGCATAGCCACGGCGGAGGAGGAGCCGGACATTGTTCATGGTCGGTTTCAAATGCGCACTATTTCGACTTCCCTGAGCTGGGAGTCAAAAAGTCACTAAAGTCAAACCCAGAGTAGTTCTGAGTTTTGTACCTCAAACCTAATATTAAGCGGGTTTTTTTATTTGTTGAGAAATTGATTTTAAAGATTCTTAGGCTAAAGGTGTGTGTCCCAAGGTCTTCTCATCTCATTAATAATTTCTCATCTCATTAATTAATAAGTTATATATTGATACATTTTTCTCCCATTCATTGCATTTATGTTACATTTTTTGGAACCGGCAAATATTATTAAAATATCCAACCTAGCAAGAAGCTAGGAAGGATGATGAAGAACTTTTACAGTTTACATGTTACAAGGTTACATGTTTATACACATTTAAAAAGGTTTACACACCAATCCACCCAACGAAATGTGCATTTAAATCTCCTATGTTTGACCCATGTAAAGACTGTCGATTTGACCATGTCAGCCACCACAGCAGGTGAAGATCGAGTTTTCTTAACGCCTCGTTCCCGAGTTTAACAAAAGAAAAGAAGAGAAGAGAAAAGAAAGTCATGAGAGAAAAGAAGAGAAAGGAACGGAAAACAAAATTTTCTTTTGTGTTCCCGAGTTGGAGAGAAGTGGAAGGAAAATGAATCATTTTGTTTTTTCTTTCCAAATCCTCCCAAATCGGAAGGAAAGTTAGGAGGAAATGGGATCCTCCCATTTCCCTCCACTTCCTTCCACTTCCCTTCTTTAATGAAACTCGGGAACACCAATTTCTTTTATTTTCTTCTCATTTCCACCCATTTCCTTTCCTTTCTCTCGTTAAGTTGAACTCGGAAACTGGGTGTAAATGTCCAGTCGCATCAAGCCTTCCATAAGAGCCATGTTGTCCCATAGCAAATAGCAATTAAACTCCTCCGTTTTTTATGGCATGTTCCCCATTTAGAGGCGAATTCCACCAGATCTCTTATATGTGTGGGACGCGGGTCAGGTATCTCACACCACCGGAATATCCATTCCCATACTGTCACAGCTTTTGGACATCGGAGAATCACATGGTCAGTATCTTCAGGTTCTAATCCACACCAGGTACATGTAGGGGATGGGAGTTGAATGCCACGTCTGATTAGAGTTGTAGCAATAGGCAGCCGATCGAGAACTGCCCTCCACATAAAGCAACTCACCTTTATTGGAATGTTATGTATCCATTCTATCACTACCTCATCATTAGTTCGATTCCTTCTGTCAATTTGTGATCTAAGTGCACTCACCTGGAATGCACCATCATGAGAGAGAATACAGATGCATTTATGTTACATGTGTATCCTTTTATAAACTAAGTTATATATTGATATATTTTTCTCCTATTCATTGCATTTATGTTATATGTGTATCCTTTTATAAACATGACACTACTAAACATATGATTCTTGGCTAAAAAGGGAAAATGATTTACCAGTGTAATCATTTATTTTTGTCGTTTTGTTTACATTTAGATAAAAAAAAATTTATACATTTGACCATTTAACTTGTTTACATTTAGATAAAAAAAATTTATACATTAGACCATTGTCTAGCCGATGACAATGGTAATCTATAAACACATTCAACATGTTAAATGATCAAATGTGTAAAAAAAAAATGTCATCGGCTAGACAATGGTCAAATGTGTACAAAAAAAATTGTCTAAATGTAAACAAAATGAAATTTTAATTACCCTCATAAGTCAACTTTCTCACTTTGAATAACGATTCTATTTTTCATATTTGTTTGTGTTGTTTTTTTTTCAAACATTATTTTTAAAATATTTATAATGTCCTAAATATTAATTAAATATTGATCAATTCTAAACTTTACTTTTTAATTAATAAATATGTTTTTGTTTTGTGAAATATTTTATATAGCCTCTTATATTTTTTTCTTTTGTTTTTAAGCATATACAATATTTTTAAAGTAAACAATATCTATCAATAAAATTAAATAAATTAAATATGTAATAATAAGTATGGAATGCCTTTTCAAAAAATAAAAAGAAAATATTATGTAGCAAATAAAAAACAAAAAAAATCTATATAATGTAAGACCTCAACTTTTTTAGTTTTTCTTTAAAAACACCCACATATTACAATTTCTTTTTGGAAAAAAAATGACTAAAATGGCAAGATCAGGAAAAATGAAAAAATATAGGGTTTTTTTCAAGCAAAATATAAATTTTTGATTTAATCCGGAAAAAACATAAATTATAAGATCTTTTATTAGATTAACCCAAAAAAGAATATACTACACAACTTATTCCATTGAGTTGTCATAATTCGCATAAACATGTTTTCTCTTCTATGTCCACCTGAAATGCATCCCCACCGTTTCTTGTTTCAAACTTATCAAAAGATGAAATATGATACTTGACTTCCAAGTATAGTAATTTTAGTGAATAGTTCTATATATAATTTACATTTTCTTAATATGATTATATTTTTATGATAACAACTAATTTTCTGGAAAACACTACAAAATATAACTAATGAACAAAAGATCATACAACTTTCTTAATGAAGTACAACTTTCTTAAGGCCCTCAACCATCTGCTACAAACACCGTATTAATAACTTCTTTCAGATTTTTACACGCCAAAATCTCAATTTCTCCAAAATCTAACCCCTCCAAAGATTTTTCTGCCAATTTTGGCACCACACATTTTTTATACCCCAATTTTGCCACTGTACTCACCCTCTTCTCCATTTTTGGCACCATGCGAAGCTCACCACCAAGCCCAATTTCTCCAATGAATGCCACGTTGTTAGGAATTGGGAACTCAAGAAAACTGGAGATCATAAAACATATCAATCTTATAAATTTATAGTACACTTCAATTACATAATTTTAAAAGTAGCTTACATTTTTAGTCCCTGTTATCTTTGCAATTTTGGTCCTTATTTGAAGTTTTGTAACGTTTTTGGTCCCTGATGTAAAGAACAGGGACCAAAATTGAATATGTTACTTATACATAAAAATAGTCACTTTACTTGGAACAGAGACCAAAAAATAAAGGAACCTCAAATAAGGATCAAATGTGCAAGAGAACTTTTTGGGACCAAAACTGCAAAAAACAGTTATACTCAGGGACCAAAAATGTAATTCATTCTAATTTTAAAGATATTGCCTGCTACAAATTGCTGCTGCAACTGCTAAATCTCCAGCGGTTTCTGTTAGAGTAGCCCCACTAACAACATTTAAGAAGATTGCCTATAAACCGATCCACAAAAATTAAATTAAAAAAACAAAAAATAAAATGTTTTTCTTAAAGTAATATTAATTGAAGGAAATAGGACTTACATTTGATTGGAGCTTGAGACCTGCTTGCTTCATAAGAACCTACAAGATATATCAATTTTTATTAGATATATAGAAAAAAAATATGTAAAGAGTAAATTACATTTTTAGTCCTTGAGTGTAGCTGGTTTTTTTTTTCTTTCCAAATTTGGTCCTTATTTTGAGTTTTTGTAACGTTTTTTGTTCCTTTCCATGTAAAATGACTACTTTTGGTCCCTGGGTATAGCTGGTTTTTGCAATTTTGGTCCCAAAAATAGTCATTTTACATGGAAAGGAACAAAAAACGTTACAAGAACCACAAATAAGGACCAAAAAAAAATCAGCTACAACTCAGGGACCAAAACTGTAATTTACTCAAAATTTAATGATTACTTACGGAAATAATCATATCTGCTCTCCCTGCTTGAACCCCATTCACTTGCCTTGAAAGTGAGTTCCCTGCTGCACATAGAGCCTACAAACCAATTTCTCACTATTTGTCCAAAAATAAACACAAAAATTTCATTTTTTTTTTGGAGAATTTTTAACCAAAGATTACTTTTTTCACTGGAGTTTTTAAACATTATTTAAGTCACGTATGGGTAGAGTGGCTACATAGGTAATCATCTGTCTGGATAAAGTGTTGTATACATAACGTCTGTTTCTTTTCTAAACCAAATAACCATTTAACCATTACATTCCAAAAAAAAACAATTTTCATCAAATTTAAGTGCTTAAAATACTAAGCTCATTAAACAAACCTGGATTTCAATGACAAATGTGCGAGATCCATCCATAATTACAGCAATTGCTAGACCTGCTAAGAACTCTGAATCCGAGTGTTCTTCACTCAAGAAAATCTCACTTGGATTCGTGACAGCTTTTAGTCCACATGGCGACATTTCAAACACTCCTAGCTAAAAAAAAAAAAAAAAAAAAACAGTTTTTCAGTTCCAAAAAAAAAGGTTTAAAAAAAGGGAATAGAACTAACATGATGAATAATACCTCATCAGTTGATCCAAAACGATTCTTGAATGCACGAAGCAAACGATGAGATGAATATTGTTCCCCCTTGATATTATAATAAAATAGCATAAGATATAAAATAATTACTAAATAATTAAAAACCCAAGAAATATTAAAAAAAAGGTACCAACTTCCATATATAAAACTGCATCAACAATATGTTCCAAAACACGAGGTCCAGCTATGTCTCCTGACTTTGTTACATGACCAATCTGACACAAATCCAAAAAAGATTTTGTATAATTCATCAAAATATACTTTTCTTAAAAATTAATAGCCATTTTTTTAGTTCATAATTTATACTCACCAAGAATACGGGTATATCTGTCTTTTTAGCAAAACGCAACAAGGCTGCTGTACATTCTTTAACCTATACAACATTTGGTTAATACAAGGTCTGGAAATGCCACGTCATCATATGTAACAAAATAGATGTTTTTTGAGGTTAATGAAATAGAAAAAGGTTTACCTGGTAGATACCTCCTGCACTACCTGTAACTCCCATTAGCTGAACAGTTTGGATTGAATCTATGATTAGGGCACGTGGAGAGAGAGCTTGAGCTTTTCCCAAAATGTCCTTTAAAAAGGCACACACAAAGCAAAGTAAAAGTGTAAAACACCATTTATATTTATAAATTATAATAACACATGTTCATGATTTATTAAGTTAAGTATATTTTGGAACATTCACCTCAATGTCTGTACTTGAATACAAGAACAATTCCTCTGTGTTGATTTCCATCCGATCTGCTCTGTTTCCAATTTGCTCAACACTCT